GGTCAATCTTTCACCATAACATCAATTATGACGGATGTAATAACACGATTAAAGAAGAGGGCCGCCTAAAGATGAAAGACAACCACAAAATTCCATGGAGCTGAAGATAATTTGTTAACGGACAAGAATGTAAAAAGAACCCTCGTTCAACAAACAGTCGCACACAAGTCAGACTAAATAAACGAGATGAAGCTTTCCATACAGAAATGCACCATCAGAAACAAATAAAGCGCCGGAGAACGATACAAGAAATTGGAGCCTGACCAAATCATAAACATCAAACAGTAACAACAGTGCAAAAATCACTGCACCACCAATCAAACAATTCACCTGAACTAGTAAATAAGCAAAACGAAACAAATTTCCCCAAAAATTGAAAACAAAAACATGATTTCATAACAAAAGAGTTCCATACAAATCACCGAGGATGAAATAAGTGGAATCGGGAAGCTTTTGTTTTCCTTTTCCCCTCGTTAATCTGGCAGATGAGAGCTATTGCGGGGAATGTATTTTTGGGTAAGTTTTTTTTAGGGTATATATATGCAGGTGAATATATAGAAATGTCGGAAATGAGATTTTGGGAATATAAATTTTGATTAGTGCCACCCTTTTTTTGCCATTTTGTTATGTTCGATAGTCAAATAAGCTAGTTTATAGCTTATTTTGTTAATTTATATGTTTGGTAGACACATATGATATAACATTAGTTAATTTATAGTTTATTTGGTTAGCGTATAAGTTATTTGTATTTAAATAAGTTTCGTTTGGTAGGATAAAAGGTTCGAGCGAGCTTATCTCATAAGTTTCTTTTGGTAGCTTTTCAAATAAACTCGTTAAAAATTTTGTTCCAGCTAGCTTATCAGCTAATTTTACCAAACCCCTTTTATCAAATAAACATAGTCTATAAGCATTGTTTGGTAGGGCGATCTTTTTTTAAAAAACTCAAACTTACTTCATAAGCTTCTTTATTCACGAATGTGGACCGCTCCTCGACCTCTTTATTACAAGAGTCCATTGATGATTATTTGGACTACGACACTAGCGATAATTTCGAGTATCGTATTATTAAGGTTTTTTTTATGTATTTCTAGATGTTCTTGTCAAGCTTCGGAGCCTCGCTATATATAATAGGATGATGCCTTTAAAATATATTATATTCGAGACACGTGACGATTTCTCAAAGGTCAACTTCATGCAGAGCATTGCGTGTTCCCGCAACTTGCTCAAGTGACTTATCTTTTGGGCGGTGTGAATCGGTTTGAGTCTGCAAAGATCGACATGAAGGAGTTCCATTCGCTTGTGGCCCATGTGAGAAGGTGACCTTTCTTCGTTAGGGTGATGTTGGTCTCGGACTACGTGACCACGGGTCGAACCGGTCCGTGGTCAACGTTCCTTGAATCGAGCCCGTGGTTTGATTGAGCCGAACCGTTTTCAATAATGTCGTTATGGATTTTGAATATTTTTGTCCCGAACTGTCTCATTTGTCCCGTTTTATTTTTTTCGTACCAAATATTGTGTGTATATATATGTTATACATTATTATTATAAATTATATTAGTATTATAGCCAATTACGTAATTAACAATAGGTCATTTTAGCATTCAAGCTTCAGTCACATTCTAACTTTGTAATATATAAAGAAAAAACTCAATTATCCAAGCAAAAACTAAACAATATGGCAAAAAAAAAAAAAAGCCTAAACAATGCATTTGGTAATCTGTTTTAAAGAGTATGTTTGTTATAATGGAATCAATACTATTTAATAACTTTGTGTAAGCAAATTAGTGAGAATTTCGTGCGATGCACGGGAATTTCGTAATGTAAAATATTTTTGCAAAACTTTATTTTAATAATATATTAGCCTGTTGATACGTCTATAATTATATAAATAACAATGTAACATATATGTTTAATTTTTAATACATAAAATAATAGTTTTACATATTTTGGTTCATCATAATACTCAGAAAATATTTTTTTTCATATAATGTCAATATTATTTATACCATTTATAGAGATTATATTTTTTTATATAATGATGAATATTTAATGTATATTAATATTATTTATTGATGTGAGTAATTTAAAAATATATAAATAAATTTAATGTTTGTTAGGAATGTGATAGATCTCGATATTTTAGCTACAAATATATGTTATATATGCACAAATATATGATAAGAATATTTTGAGATACAAAAAAATTTTCATGTGATTTATTGACTTAATTAATCAGCCGTAATTACTAAATTGTATCTTTAAAAAATACCATAAAATGTTTAAATAGTTTCCAAAATTAGTAAACAACATTTTTTTGGCGGGAAATAGTTACTATTTTAAAAATAATAAAACTTATA